TGACCCTGCTCCCCAGCTGGAATGCCAGAGCAGGGCCATGCTGTGGCTTCCAGGAGCTGCGTGGTGCGGCCCCCGACCCTGCTCCCTGGCTGGAGTGGGGCAAGCCCCAGACCCCACTCCCCAGCGGGAGCTCGTGGGCCGGCTTAAAACGTAGGTTGCCCACCCCTGATTTAGACTGTAGATTCCTCAGGGCAGGGATTGTCTCTTCTGGTAAATCACATGGGTTTATACAGCACCTATCATGATACAGCCCTGCTCTCAGTTGGGGTGGCTAGGTGCTATTTGAATATAAATAACACCACCACCTCACTCTTTTGCTTTCCTCAGACTGCCTTCTGTGAGATGATTCTGCGTATCCTAGTCCCCTGTGGTTTGGAGTTGGGCGTTATTTACCTTTCAGAACTAGAACACTTTTTGTACTGCTGGATTTTGCATGGTTGGTGTCCTTAAGGATGGGGTCTCGGGACTCTGAGCTTTAATTCAAAGGGCTGTGCAGGACGGAAGGATCCAAAAGCCCATGCCAGAAAGGAATAATTCAAAGGGATAGATGGAGGGGAAATGTTAATAATTGAAAAGAAAGAATAAATAGCCAAGGACACCACCAGAATTGTAACTCAACAGCTTAGCTAATACATGGGTGAGAAAATGAGGCATTACCTCCCTGAGGCAGGTATAAATGGGACAGACAAGGACTCGGAAGGGCTCCCCACCGTTGCTCCTCATGGTGCCGAAGACTTCGCAGAGAAAGGTGATGAATCCCAGCCAGCGCTCCACGTCGCGCTGCTGCAGCTCCTCCCGCATTGTGAAATCTTTCTGCAAGGGGGACAGACAACAGGCGGCATCAGCAAAACCACATCTCACTGGAAGAGGCAACGGCTGTCTAGGGAGGGAATTAAGAAAAGAGGAAATTGAAACTAGAGGGAGAGAGAGCGAGAGAGACAGACTGACTGTCACTTTAGTAATGAGCATGCGGATTACTCAGTGTAAGTGCAGTGGCTGAAATTTCAACACAATATAAAGCAGGTATTGTAGAAATAGCAACAGCAGCTGCACAATGCAATAGAAACAACTTCCCTTTGGCCTTTCTGCCTTTTGTAACATATGTGAGTATTCAATTCAATATGCAAAAGAGTGGGGCTGGTTTAACGGGTGTGGCAAACACAAAAGGCACACGAGCCATGCAGGAAGCACACATGCTGCCTGGTTTTTCTGCTCAAGGGAACTCATGTCACCACAGGTAAATTCAGTCTGTCTACACCTCTCTCAAAATTAGCACCCAAAGGGACCATGTTGTCCCCTGTGCTAGGACCTGGGCTTCCCTGGGCCGCTGGTGATTTTTGGCTGCTGCAACTGCTCCTTGGCACCCTCTAAATTACAGCAGGGGACTGGCTCACTGCCCACCTGGATGAGGACCAGGAGAGTACAATGTTGGCATTAAAAAGTCACCCCCTCCTGTGTCATACTGTTGCCACAATGAAGGACTGTGGGAATTATGCAACTCCAGAAGCAAGGTCAGGATCAGATGCACAGCGAGTTATGTGTCTCTCCACTGGCCCTCTACTCTAATCCATAGACAAAAATGGTGGCTGCCAAAGGAAAGAAAGTAAGAACATAAACAGGTGAGGGACAGGGGAAGAAAAGAATGACAGAGAAAATACAATAAAACAGAATCTTCATCTTTTTAAACAAGAAATTTGGTACTTTACTTTTACAGGGACCAAATAAAAATGATGATGCTATAATCCAAGTGTATATAGTGCTCAGGACAAGGGGATGTTTCCTCAATCCCTTTTTGATGTTATAGCAGCTTGTTTCAAGAAATATCACAGCAGCCTGCTTATTTCCACTCTTAATTACACCTCTGTCTTGATATAACGCAACCCGATATAACACGAATTCGGATATAACGTGGTAAAGCAGTGCTCCGGGGGAGGGCTGTGCACTCCGGTGGATCAAAGCAAGTCCAATATAACGCGGTTTCACCTATAACACGGTAAGATTTTTTGGCTCCCGAGGACAGCGTTATATCGAGGTAGAGGTGTACCTTTCCTTATGGTTATCATTTAGTTGACATAATGCAGAGAAAAATTACAGAACAAGTTCATTTTCAAGTATAACATAAAAAACTACAGGCGAAGTGTGTGTTCAATGTGTGTTGCCCAATACATGAAATCCAGCAACTAAAATGCTAATTATTTAAGTATCTTTTCTACATCAGCTTATTCCTATTGACTAAAACTAACAAGGATACATCGTTGCACCCAATGCTCTAATCTGCACCCGCACAGTGTGGAGACAGCTGTGCAGAAGAGCCACCAGAGAGAAGAGTACTGATTTATAAACTTTGCAAAGTACTGATGTTTAAATGCATGTAAGTGAAGCAGTTGCTGAAGAAACCCAAGTGAAAGATTTGTGATTTATTTTATTATGCAACAATATGTGCAAAAGACTCAAGTGATGTCAATCAGCACCCTCCTAATGCTCAAAAGTGAGCATTCAGTCTCCAGCTGGAAGCATAAGCCTTGACCACTTGGTGTAGCCCTCTGTCCCCCTCTGGTGGTGGGTAGGCCACCAAGAGACTGATGAGCCCTCTATAGCGGGGGTGGGCAAACTACGGCCCGGGGGCCATATTCGGCCCTCCAGATGTTTTAATCTGGCCCTCGAGTTCCCGGCAGGGAGCGGGGTCCAGGGCATGCCCTGCTCCGGCGCTCCAGCCGGGGAGTGGGGTCAGAGGCTTGTCCCGCTCTGCGTGGCTCCTGGAAGCAGCGGCATGTCCCCACTCCGGCTCCTATGCATAGGGGCAGCCAGGGGGCTCTGCAGGCTGCCAAGCTAAATGGGGCGCCAAATTCGAGGGAAAAAATCAAATAAAAAAAAAAGAAAGAAAGAAAAAAATGAAAAAGATGAAAAAAACCCCAAATAAAATAACAAAGATGTCATTATTTCAATTCCTGTTGCGTGTACGGGGGGAGTATGAATTATAATTCAGTTCTCTATATTTCTGAGAATTTATTAACATGTCAAATCTTTTATTTACTGCAAAAATAAATAATATTTTAGCAATTTTTTTTTCAATTTGCGACGTGGGTCATCTTGACCCACTCCGCAATTTTGATAAGCCATAACTCAGCCACAATGAAACACATCCGCCAGCAGCAAGAGCTGCAATGCTAGTGACACATAACTCGAATATACAGCAAGGTCGCATACCTGGAAATTCATGTAGAGCGGACATATCGCGAGTTGATATATGTCAAACAGTCATTTTAACACACGTCGCAGATAGATGGTTAAGAACTGAGCGAATACTGTGGAAAATTGTGTTTCTTGGTGCCAAAGAATAAAGAATAACGTCTTTCAGTATTATAAATCCAAAATGTGAGTATCTTTAAGCGTTATTAAACCTTAGCGTTATTATCGGGCTGTATAATTTCTTTGTTATAACTGGTTCACATGTAATAAATACGGTCCATAAAAGAAAAGTAACAGCGTTAACGCTTAATAGACTACAAAAGTGATGATGTCACACTCCAAGTGGGTAACCTTGAGGAAGGGGATTACTTTCCAAACAACCCGTGTCGGGTTATAACATCAAAAAAGGTAATTTTGTTTCCATGTAAACGCTGTAACTAACTGTTTCAATAGGTAAGTGAGTGTATGTTACTAATCATTGAACCTTTAAGCAGTGAAAAGACATGTTGGGATGGCTGCAATGTGGTTTAAATCGCCAGCCATGTGGTGGGTGTGTCAGCCATCCTTAACGCTATAATGCTTGCAGTCGGGAGCACAGTACGTAACAATATTCAAATGCCCCATGGCAGAAAGAGGAAAAAGAAAACCCTCAGGAGCTGAGTATCATAAACGAAAGGTTGAGAAGGAAAAGGACCAAGCAAAACAGCAGGGATCCTTCCTGAAATATCTTCTCTTTAATCCAAATAAAGATGGAAGCAGTTCACAGCATCCAGATGAAGGAATTTTACTTGGAGAGGAGGTTAGCTCACATCTGCATGGAAGCAGTTTGGAACATCAAGATGATGGAAACTTACTTCTAGATGAAGGCAGCTCACAGCATCAGACTGATATGGAAGTGTAGAAAATTTATTCACCTTCAGAGACACATGCATAAATTGACGTAAAAGAAGTAGAACGAAAAAAGGATGAGGAAGTTACAAACAAGTTACAGTATGGGGACCCAAGTTCACGGCCCAGATGTGATGACAGTGTGCGGCAAATTCTCGTGGAACATGGACCCAAACAAGTTCATGAATTTCCCTTCCCTAAGGATGGAAAAAAAAGAAAATTCTCTGCTCAGCATTACAAGAGGAAATTCATTAATAAGGAAGAAATTCATTGAAACTGGTTACAATATTCAGTGTCGAAGGACTCTGTTTTGCTTTTGCTGCAAGTTGTTTAGAAATCAAGCAGTTGGTACATCACTTACTGAAAATGGTTCGAAGGACTGGAAAAACATATCTTCAATTCTCTCTTCACACGAAAGAAGTACAGAACATTTAGAATGTTTTCAAAATTGAAAAGAACTTGAATTATGAGTGAAAAAAGGAAAACTATAAATGAAGAAAATTTACACGTGATCAAGGAAAAAGAAAAATACTGGCAACAAATATTAGAGCGCCTGATTGCTTTAGTGAGAGTTCTCGGTGGGCAAAATTTAGCATTCCGCGGTCGTGGTAGAAATGAAAAATTATACACTCCAGGTAATGGAAACTTTTAAAAATTTGTAGAATACCTAGCTTTGTTCGATCCAGTCATGAAGGAGCATCTATGTAAAATAACTGATCATGAAACACAGGTTCATTACTTAGGAAAAATATGCAGAATGAACTGATTCAAATTCTAGCAAATGCCAATAAAAGAAAATTGTAGAATTCTGCAAATTCTGCAAAATACTTTTCAATAATATTGGACTGTACACCAGATGTGAGTCACGTTGAACAAATGATGATGATCATCCATTTTGTGGATATGGAAAAGTCTGCAGACGAAGATAATGTTGAAGTGCTCATAAAGGAACATTTTTTGGGTTTCGTACCACTGAAGGAGATGACTGGAGCATTTATGACTGAAACTATTCTACAAGAGCTTGAAAAATGTCATTATCTGTTGAAAACATAGGTGTCGAAAGCTAGGAAAAGGGAAGTAATAAGAAAGGTAAAAACAATGGTGT